TGCTTTTTCACCTATATGTATAGTCGCCTAGTTTCGCCACCTGATGCTCCAGTTTAAATTGCAAACGAATGCGTAGACATAAGGTTTGGCTTTTCTAATGTAACTCATAGTAAAAATCCATAATAAACATTCAAAGGAGCCTCCAAAGAGAGGCTATCTTAGTTTATGAAGACTTAGACTTGTTAGATTTGAATTGGAATTCTTTTTGAGCACACATTCCTTTTAATGACTCGTTTTTCATTTATGTCTTTCGCCGTAAAAGACCTATTAATCAACTACATGGTGAACTTAAGGTATCGACAATTTCTGTTTATGGATATTTTGCGTTTGCTCTAATCGGGCGTCAGTTTCCTAGTCAAAACGAATACAGAGAGGTTGTCGACATGTGGGTATTTTGTCTCAAAACTGCACAACAGGACAATTTCAAAGTAACATCAATGCTTATTCAGGTACATACCCATATTTACTATATTACAATTCCTATTTTTCGTTGGTTGGTTGAAAGTTGGTGAAGATCTTATGTTCCCGTTTGGTGCTGACGACGAAGACTTTGAATTTAACTATATCTTAGAACGTAACTTAGAGGTATGTCTAACGAGCATACATGTCAATCTGTCCTAGATAGCACATTCTACTTTAGATGGCTTTTCTAATTGTCGACGAGCTTCACAATCAAGTGCCTCCTATATATGTCGAATCGCTCGATGACAAAGTGCAGGTATTGTAGCGGGAAATGGTTTTCAACATCAAAGTATCAAACATCTCAGCTAATTCACACTCACGCCTCCGTGAAGCTGTCAAGCCATCCACAACGACAACATTTGAGAAAATACAAGATGAAGGACGATGCTATGCAGATATGTGGGGAAAACCCTTCGTTGAAGACAGGTCCGCTTCGTCATATCTCTTAGAACTGATAAATACAGAATAGGAAGTACCATATCGCGAAGCGTTAGAGAAATGACCATGAGAGCAACGTGACTCGTAAATATAAAAAGTCCAAAGGCTACTCAGATTAAATTTTGAGTCGAATTCTTGATCCGTAGTCGTTTGTCTTGTTTGGAGTTGCGATATCCCACAACTTATATTTTATTTATCATGTAGAATTGCAATATAGCATCTGTGGAAAGTTTTGAAACTCAATGTTTTCCATCGACGATATGTGGGCATTCATGGTAATCTGTCTCAGAGCAGAGAAAATTTTTTGGAGATCAGTGGCCTTATCTGAAAGTGT